TTACTAAACGATGATCCCAGATTACACAATCGGACGATAAGATCAGATGAAAAGTGCACCATAAAAATTATAATCTTAGAAATCTTACACTAAATCGTATTAGAAGATTCTTGGTAAATTTTGCTGTCTTATAAGATATCATTATGTAAGATGTAAAGAAAGCTTATGTGACCATGAGATGTTTCAAGAATCTTATAGTATGAGTTAGTGTAAGATTTCTGAGACTACAACTTTTTGTATGATTCCATCTGATCTTATAAGATCTGGGGTTGGTCAGTCTGGTCGGATGTCCTAATGCTTTTTTCTATCATTCAGTTTCTATAATGTATCAGAAAAATCTAATTTTTTTAATAGTAATAGTACTTACATAATGCTGATGATCTACCAAGGATAGGAGGTTTATCTCTTGTTTGAAGCCACAATAATTATGTGTCTTGGGGACCACCTGTTGGTAAATATCGGAAGTCTTTTGGATATACTTGATTATTTTTGTTTTAAACAAGAAATAAACTCTTTCTTTTTGGCACATCATCAGCATTATATGAGTACTATAACTAGCAAAAAAATCCAATTTTCTGATACACTATAGAGACTGATCGATTAAAAATAGCATTGAGACATCCAACCAGACTGGCCAATCCCATCTGATGTTCGATTTATTTTTGACTTAGGAAGATCTTTATGGATTTTAAACTAACTAATGGTATATACGTATATAAAAATTTAAAAATACATGGTCAATCTGAACTTATACCAGCAGTTACCATCTCTAACAGTAGGATTCATGTTACAAAAATCTTTAGTAATCATGAACAGTCTCAAATTATTTTCTCTAATGAAATTCAATACTATTGAGAAACTAGATGTTGAATTACGATCAGAAAACAACTTCTATACCATTATAAACTTAGCAACTAGAAATAATTTTTTTATAAAATTTTCTTCCTTATTTTTATTCCAATATAATAAAAAATTCTAAATCTTTTTTTTTTTATTATACGCATCTACTAGCCGATGTTTGATTCATATTATTATTAACGATAATTGAATGAGTTAATCGTAACCAACTATTATAATGTTCAGAGTTTGCTAAGGAATCTTGTCGAAGACGAGTTGCTGGTAAACTAGGATTCGATTGAGTTCGTAATCTTGACTGAAATTTTGAATAATATGATGATTGCATAAATAATGAATAACGATGATGTTGGGAAGGAATCATTTGTTGTCGTTGATTTATATGAATTTGATTATCAGATGGTGTTAAAATTTGTTCATTTTCTTCGATTATTTGAAAATTTTTTACTGAATAGCATGTTAAATAGCATTTTAATTTAAATAAAATCGATGACGGAAAAAATAATATAAAAAATAATAATGGTTTAAAACTTGTACCAAATAATAATATTTGAGAAAACGTACGACTATTAATAAAATCATTATTTATTGATGTTAATTGAGTATCAAAGATTATTTCAATTGCACGATAAAAATAAAATGGTATTGATGTTAATGTTACTGTTGTAAATATATAAAGTATATAAATACAGATTTGTCGTTCATGAATAAATGATGATGTGACTTTTTTAGTTATTATACAACAGCATAAACGAATATGTAAAATTATCTCAAGAATAAGAGCTAAAAAAAAATGGAAAATAAAGATTATTTTTCTTCGAAAAAAGTAAAAGTATTTTTATCGTATTACTAGTTAAATGTAAGGAAAATAGAAGAAGAAAATCTGCTTGTATTAAATGTACAAGTCGAACAGTAAAATTAAAATTATGATTTGTTTGTAAATAACATATTTTTTTTTGTTCAATTAAATAATGATTACTATCATATGCTTCTTCTGATTTTAATAATGTTAAATTGAAATCTAAGGAAGTCATATTTGTATTGTTTTCATTCATTGAAGAAGGTGTAACTATTTTCGTAGCTTCATGTTCATATTGATTTTCAATCATTGATGATGGAGGTACAATATAATCTTTTATATTTGCAACACCCCATAGCCATAAACCATCTACTGACCATGCTAAAGCAAGTACAAATGGTATTAAAATACTTAAATCTGTACATAGTAATTGTTTAAATGTAGATAAATGTGATGATTTAACTTGGAATCGTTTACTTAATATATAATGATAACGACATAATATAACTATAATTAATAACGGTATAAAATGAAGAGTAAATTTCCATAATAAAATATGTGCAGAGCATAAATGATGACGAGCAAGAAATGATTGAAAAAAATATTTTTCATCCAAACAACTTATTATTGATGAAAAACATAAAAGAATATCATTACTTGTTAATATTAAAAGAAAACGATATTTTGTATGTGATAATATGTGTATCGATTCTTGTGATTCTTGTTCTCGAATACGATTTGATTTTCGTTTTCGATATTCATAAAGAATAAACCAAATTTTAATACAACATATCAAATTAAAAAGAAAGCCAAGTATACTTATAGTTAATGTAAATGTTGAATGAAATAATGGCGAATATGCTATTGTTATGGTATCATGATATGTTTTATTTATTGTTTCATTTGAAGATAGAAAATATGAATCATGTAATAACATTTGTCTTCGATTTTTTTTCTGGTTACTAACTATTCATTATCTAGAAAAGAAAAAAGAAAGAAGTATTTTAATAACGAAGATCTTGTAGTTATTCTATTTTATGTTTTTCTTTACTCGTATCTACTCATCTATCTTCAATACGTGTTCTCTCAAAAGAAGGTTTTACAATTTAATGAATAGTTGAACAGATAGCATACAAACATTAACATATTTTAATTATTAATGTATTATGAAATAGAACTAATAAATATGTTTTTGTCATCAACAAAAATATTTCATTGAAACAAGTTCTTTCAGAATTATGTAAATACGTCGCAAAGATTTTTAGTATAGAGATATAATTTCTTGTGACAACCAGCTGACTATACTCACTGCTTTTTAAAGGAAACATCATATGGATCTTACATTTTCTAAATCAATGAATAATGAAACTTAATATGACAAGAAAAAAAAATGTATTACAAAACTCAAGTTAACACGATCTCATGGCGATGACTTCAAGTCTATGATTTTTTACGCTGAATAAAAAAGAATTTTGCTTTTGACAAAAAAAAAAAGAAACTTTGTGGACATTATCACTTTTGAGTTCGACTTTTTTTAAAAAAGAAATTTTTTAAATGTGGAAGCACACGCTCGTTGATCTACTTATTCTGATTGGCTAGTAAGCACGTATTATTCTATGAGGGATCCTGTTGTTCAAAAAAGAACCAACAGAGAAAACTTGCGACGAACAAAAATTATGAAGAAATAGTAACGAGAGTGTATTCAGTAATTTGTGATGTAACGTATATCATGTTGACCAAATTCTATAACAAATAATTATTTAGAAAGAATGAAACTCCTACAATTAATCATTTTTTTGTTGTCTGGTGAATAGTGCACTTACATGCAAAAATAAAAATGTTGTGAGGAAGTGTAATTGTCTTTCGAAAACAACACATGCGTAAGCAATCATAATAATTAAACAATATCATTATTCATATTAACAAATAAAGAAAAACGCAATTCTTTCTCCTCGTTTATCATAGTATATTTTTCATACGCTTCAAATCCTAGTCGCATGACTTAGCAAATGATATAATTTGAACTTTTCTTTTTTTTTTTTTTAATAAAAGGTAAACCTGCAGAAGAAAAGATTTCCTAGAAACAACTATAATATACATTTCTATTAAAAGAAATCTAATGTGATCTATAAACGATAGAAAATGTATTTATTGAAACAAAACTAATGAGAATATACATGATATTAGAAGCAAAATAGTCTTATATCTAAGTTACGTATTTTTATGACACTTTTTTACTGTCAGATTCGATGAAAACACATGTAGAAATATTTGTTCTTTTTTCTTCTTTAGAGAAATTAAATACTTACATCTGCAGGAGACGCCTACATTAAAAAGATTCAGAAAATTAAAATGAATGTGTTTTACATTACCTTTTTTTTTTCTTGTATAATATATGGTTCCCTTGTAAACTAGTGTTCTTTCTTTGCTTAGCAATATTTATACGTCATTAATCATAAGAAACTCATTTACTCGTTTAAAATGTACTTCAACTGAGAGGAAGAAAGATTTTTCTTTATGTCTCTAATGTTTATCTGAAATATAATTATTATGTTTTGAATATGACACTTACCTGTCATTTAAAAATTACATTTTTTCTTTTTCGACATTTCAATTAGTCAAAAACTTGATAGTTGACATAAGAAAAAAAAAAACTTTTCATCATTGAAAAATCAAAAAAAAAAAAATAAAATGAAATATTTTTTGTCTCAATTTATATTAATTTCCTGTGTAGGCAGTTTGCTTATTAGTCAATGAGCTGAATGCTTTTATAAAATGAAAGATGTTTTCCTGTAATATAAGATTTGACTGAATATATATATATTTTATCACGCTACTTATTAATAGTATAGATTTTTTTTTTATTATCTATATTTTTCTTCTCTATTCGTCTAGGAGCCATAGCTAGATAAGAGTAAACAAAGAACGATACAGAATGACAATACTGGTTGTTCCACTTAATAAAAAAAAATTGCTTTTTTCTCTTGTCACTAAATATATATCTATATAGCTATCAAGTATTCTATTCAGATCTGTTTCATCTGTATTGAATGGAGATAGGAAAAAGAAAAAGAATGAACGAAAAGTAGTAATCTAAATTTTTTAATACTCTTGTATCGTTGTGATGAATATTATTTTCTATGTTGGATAAACAATATAAAATTAATGTCTTTTGAGAAGTGATTGACAATTTAAAATATTTTTCCTTTTTGTTTTCGTTTATTTTTTTTTTATTAGATTTGTGTGAAAGATCAAACAAACCAAAAAAAAAAAAGAAAAAAAAAAGAGAAAATAGAATAATAAATTCCTTTAACATGATTAATATATATATATATATATACACATTTCATTTAAATTTGGGTAAAAGTCGACGAAAACTAGTGGCCGAATGATGTTTCTAAAGATTAGAAGTGAAAAAAAAAATAAAAATTATTCTTTATTTTTTTATTTTTACTTTTTTTGGTATCGGAGAACAATCAATTTGAGGTAACATATAATTAATTAGTTTATTTTGTTGACAACTTTTAATTAATAATTTTTCTTGATTGATCTTGAGGAATAAAAAAAAAAATGATATTCTTTTTTTTTAAAATTAACAAAAAATAAAATATTTTAGTACCTCTCGATCACCTAATTCATCTGAAAGAATTTTTATATGATCAGCTAAACGATCACGAGCTTCAGTTAAATCCATATTACGACGTCGTTCTGTTTCATATTCTCCATAAAGTACAGCATATTCTTCTAAATAAAACAAAAAAAAAAAAAAATAGGAAAATTTGTCAATTTTTAAAATTCTATGTCTTATGTTCAAATCTCTTTTTCCATCAACATAACTCGTTAATATAGATAAACATAATAAAAATTCCATAGTGTATATAGATTAATAAACAAAACATTTTCTGCTCAGTTGCTCTCGTAACTAAATAACTTCCGGACATCAATAAATAGCATGCATAGTTCTTTGATTCTACGCTGTTTTTAGAAATACTCTTTTTTTTTTCTTACAAGCATAGTTTTTTCTACTGAGTACGCTATGACGAATATGATTTTGTTTCATATTACAACAAAAAAAATGATTCTAAGAGTATCTAATATCAAAATGGCATATTACTATTAAACTAAATGAAAATCTTATATTTTACGCATAACTCGAACATAGATTAGTTCAACAAACAACTTATGAGGAACAAAAAAGGTTATAGATGCCACATATGTGAGACAGAATTAGTAATGAAGTCAGATAATGTTTTCATTTAAAATGCAAATAACAACATCAGACAGTAGCAAAAAAATTTTAATAATGCAAGACCAAAAAGAAAAAAAGAATAAAAAGTCTTACTTGAATAGAAAATTAGTTAATGTTTTGAAATAAACAAATAATATGTAAGATTAAATTATTTTCTTTTTTTTTTCACAACTTAGAAACATAATGATTAATAATCGGTTCTATTTAGTTAAATTTATTGATTCTTGAAATACAATAATTTCCAAGACATGATATTTTTTTTTGTCCTTTATCTAGAATATTGTTTATGTCAATCATGATCAATTCGTTATTTTTTGCTCTATTCAAAATTGTACTCGAAAGTCATGAAATACAAAACAAAGGTTTCGGAATCGGTTGAAAATTCTCACTTTTTTGGTTTTTCTCGAGGCAATTCCAATTAATTGTGAAACCTGTGTTTTGCATTAGAGGAAACCTAAAAATAACTACTACGGAAAGAACGTTCCAAATTGATTAAAGCTGGCATGATGAAACCCTAGGAGTCCGGTAATTGTCAATACAGGAAATATTATAAACTCGGATTAGAAATTCGTTTATCTCTGTTCACAAAAAAACATTTCCAATATTGAGAATTGCCAGACTCCAAGCGATTTTTCACACTAACTGTGATCATTTTCCTAGACTATTCTTACATTTTATCTAATGTAAAACACAAGTCTTATAACCATTTGAAATTGATTAACAAAAAGACTTGCAAGTTTTTAATTGATTTCGAAACATTTGTTTTTGTATTTCATAAATTTCGATTATAACTTCAAATAGAGTAACGAAAAGAAATTTTTTCTAGTTAATATAAACCATCTGTAAGAATTATATTCTTAATAGAGACAAAATGAAAAAAGGTTAATTCTATTCATACCATATTCTTTTCAATTAGTGAGGATAGTTTTGGATCAAACGGGATGTACTTTTCAAACAGCTTAATCCTTTCATAATAGCATTTATCCAGTGTAGACATATGCATTAGGATTTTCTCATGAATGAACATCAAACATGATACTTCTTTTCGATTTCAATGATTATTTTTTTTTTTGTTGCTTATAGATACTAATTAATATTCTAATGGAATATTTAGACAAATTTAAGTTCATACTCAGACTTATTCTAGCTAATGAATTTTTAATTTGTCTATATACTAGAGAGAGACTTCTATAGAAATAATGTAAGTTTTTTCAAAACATAATAAGTCTAAAGAATTAAGATCCTACAGTAGTCATTGACACATAGACATATTAACAATATAATAACTACATTGAATTTAAATCTTATAAAATTTTGTTTACTAGAATATTTATAAATATCATTATCGACATAGGATAAACTTCTTAGGATGGAATTATATTGATCTTGTTGAATGTACATTTTTTTTTTTATTTTGTTTAATTCTTGAAGAAAATCATACCTATAATTTTATTCATTTGTTTTTCTTTTTCATCTAATTGTTGTTGAATAATACTTCTTCTATCCATATTATTCGTTTTATGTTCAATTGAAATTGGAATTGATATTTCTAATGAAGGAAGATTACATTGAATTTCTTGATCCATAACAATAGGAGATGAAGATATATGATTTTCTTTTGGTAGAATTATAATTTTTGATGAACAACATGATTGATTAATAGATGTTGGTATAATATAAAGTGATGATGAATATAAATTCATATTGGATTCAGTTTGAATATATTGATTTTTAACTGTTATTATTGATGATTGTGATGCACAATCATTTAAATAAATATGTGATGTTTGAGTATATTGATTTAATTGATAAAGATTATTATTTATTGTTTGACATTCTTGATCAAGAAAAATTTTTTTCTCTAATTCTATATGATGATTTTCAATTGAAATTTCAATTTCATTTGATATTGGTAATTCTTCACTAAATATAATCGGAAGAATAGCTGTATCAGGTCTATCTTCTATATCAAGATCATATTGAGTTGATACATCATTATGATAAATAAAATCAGTTTGAATATATTGATCATCATATATTGTAGACTAAACAGATAAATATAAATAATTTCTTTTTTTAAAGGTACTCGTGTTCTTGCTTTCCGGTGTTTCTGAAGAATGACTGATTAGCAAAATTTCCGTGATAGTTAGATTATGGTGATTAAATTCTCCCTGTTTATTTGAGAGTGCTGAAATTTTTTTACTTTTTATACTTCGAGTTAAAAAGTATAAATATAGAATATACTCTAAGAAACACAGGAAATTGAACTCTTTTTTCCAAGAATTACTAAAAATCTGTAGGACAATATTTATTAATGTAGAAACAAAAATACTCATCTAAAACTAGTATCTCGAATGTGTGAAACAAAAAAGTTTCAACTGAAACAGACCAATAACACCAGAGAAAAGTTTTATATATATGTTTTTTTAATGTTTTAAAACAATTTTTAGGTCCTAACATGCATTTAGTAGATCGATGCTATGAAAAATGCAAAAATTTTGAGTCAGAACAAGGAAAAAGTATTCTATAATAATTTTATTTTCTTACATTATTTAATGATGATTGTAAAGCAATATCTTGTGTTAAGATAGGTATTGTTTCAATTTGTTGATCGATATATTCAGGTGTTATTTGACATGAATAATCCTTCATAGAAATATCATCAGTTTGTATTATTTGTGTATTATAATTAGTTATAAGTGTTTCAGTAGTTTGATCATTTGAATTTGGTATATATTGACAAGAAAAATCTTTTTGTTCATTTAAAATAGTTTGTATTGAACAATCATTTAAATTTGGATTTATTTGACAAGCAATTGTTTCTGTTAAAATTATATCTGTTTGTGTTGATTGATATTCACTAGTAAATTGTATTGTTTCAATTTGTTTATCATTATATAATGGAATTATTTGACAAGAAAAATCTTTTGTTTCAATTATTACAGGAGATTCTGATTGTGTATAAACATCAACAAATTGTTTTACTTGTTGTTGAAAACCAAGACTAGTTGTAAGTACTAATGAAGAATCATCATCAAAATGAGCAAGAGGTACTGATGATTTCATTATTCGTGTAGGTCCAAGTGGTGTTGAAACATATTGATGATTTGATAATGATGAATGTCGACTAGGTAAACGAAATTGTAATGATGTACTACCACCAGCTATAGTTCCAATACCAAGTGTTGATTGAAGAAGATCAGGTGCAAGATATGGAGTAACTTTAGTTAAATCGTCAAATGCATATGTATTACTTGATTCACTAGAAAATTATCATAACAAAAAAAAACTTTGGAAACATACAATTTCTACATAGAATCTTGTTAAGGTCCCCCCTAAGAAACTAACTTTGTTATTTTTCATCCGATTTCAACCAAAATTTTAAAGAATGTTAGTCTTGACTAGAATGGCTTATGGTTAAAATATCTCCCACAAATCTCAAAGAAATGCACAAGTTCTAGTTACGCGGGTAAAGATTTCACAATAAGAATACGAGCTAACAAGTCCGCGCGATTTCTAAGTTGTAGAGTATCCTTAGGGCTAGGACTTAAAAGGATCCGATTTGTGAATTTCCTTTCATTTGATTTTTAAAGAACGTTTTTCGAAAAATATTCAAATTCGAGATGCTAATAGAAATGAACTATCTAAGTTTTTTTATTTTAGCAAAAGAGAAATTTAAAAATCGGAGTCTGTTAAGTCCTAGCCCTATATGTCTCCTAGATAATAAAAAAGAATTATCACTTCCATGTCGAATCGTTATGGAGAAAAACCTGCCCGCGTAAACTGGATGACAAAAAAACTGATTTTGAGAAAAACGAAAAATAAGTTTTTAAAAACCTTATTTTTTTCAATATGGGGACTCGGAAAAACCTATGTAATATCCTTAAATCTCATGATAAAATCAATCAACTATAGTGCATTCCAGAGTAGACACATAGCTGTATCTAATGAGTTATAAATCACAAAATCGATAAATTTGACCAAAATTGACTTTTCTGAGGAGGGGGGCTTAACTAATTCGACACATTCTTATTTTGAAGATTATAACGACCTATCAATAATAGTACCTGAAATGATGTGAAGGACCTTCCAAAGGAAGAATATAATGTCGCTATCAAAAGATTTAGCTTGGTTTTGTCGTTCTAGATGAAAATCTTGAATGTTTAATTCAAAACAAAATCTTTTAGTCATGATTATTTAAATATATTTTGTTTTTGCTTTTAATATTTCTACTATTGTATTTCTATTGTTATTGTTCTCTGACAATGGACAACAATCGAAATGATGTGTAGGACTGAATTTTTCGATCACGGCCTATAGAATAATATTAGGAAAATTTATTTAAAAAAAAAATTTTTTCAATATTCGTATATTTTACTTTCGATCGGGACAACTTTTTTCTCGTAATATCGATCATAGCAATATCTCTTTGTCTTATAAAATAAAAATAAAATTTTTCGAATTATCAAATTCTATTCGAATATTAGTAATATACAAACGAAGATAATGATTCAAATATAAAGATGAAATCTATGAGTTTCTAAATGAGTTCTACTTGAATATTGTTTTTTCTTTTTTGCTTGTTACTCATTCCGTATAAATCAATACGAAACAAAACATTCATATTGTTTAAAGTACAATAACATCGATAACTTACTTAAACGGACTCATTTCACATGAATTTCTCTAAATAAACAAAATCCATAGTCAATTATTATCGATCAAGAAATATGATTAAACATACTTCTTTAAGCATAGATAATGTTTTTTCATAGATATGACATTGACGTACCATGTCTCTATTTAAAAAAAGAGAAAAATTAATTTAGAAAAACAAAAATTATCTTATTAAAATAATTTACTGATATTTGGCATCAATTTTTTTAAATTCAGTTACTTCATGTATAAACATAATTTCAACTGAATGAAATAAACGTTGTAAATAAGGTTTAAATTTTCCATAACCCATTTTATCAATAATAGATACATAACCATCTTTTAATCGCTAAACAAAAATGATATGAAGAAATAGAATTTTTTTTTTGTTTTTTCTTCTTTCATATTTATTTAACAAATTACTTTAAGATTAAATAAATTATCTTCATTTATTTCATCGTCCATACTTGTAGAAGTATTTTTTTTCTTAACTTCATCATCCATAGCTTTGTTTGTATTCTAATTGAATTTTTTGCTTTCCGTTAATGAACATATTCAATCGATAGATTGAATAGCCGGGTGTTCTTTGTTCACAAGTTAGCCATAAAAAATTTAATCTCGTCTTATTGATATATATTCACATGTTAAAATCATAGTATAAAATATTAAAATTATTTATTACAAATAAAATAAAAAAATTGATCAAATTATAGATGGCACTATAAGACAATTTTGAGAAGAAAGAAGGAAAAAGGTGTATAGTGGTCTAATGAATCATTAATATGCATTTTTTTTTTTTATCTATACAGTAGAATGAAAATATAACTTCGGTTTTAGATTGTCATGAGTCCAGGCTGAAAATCAACGTTGGTTTTTTTCGATTAATTATGGCAAGATCAAGTGAAGTATTTCATTTTAAAATTCTTATTATTGGTGAATCAAGTGTTGGAAAAGTTTGTTTATCTTATGAAATTTTGTTTTTTTTTATTTATATTTATTTAATTTTTTTTAGAGTAGTTTAATGACTCGTTTTGTTGATGAAACTTTTCAACCAACATTTTTTCCAACAATTGGTGTTGATTTTAAAGTTCGCACATTAGTTATTGATGATCATCAATGCAAAGTTCAGATTTGGTTAGTTTAAATTTTCTTCGTTTCAAAAAAAAAAAAACCTTGAAAATCTTTCGTTTTAAAAGAACACAAAAAAAACAACAACACATTCGATGAATATTTCTATAGATCGATAATCTAAAGAATTAATGCTATGTCATTTGTAATTGTTTTCTAGTCACTGACAATTAAAATAAATATTGTATACATTCTATTCATTTCAATTTCGTTTGAAAAGTTCTAATTCAATTTAATAAATTCGAGATTTTAATAATGATAAAAAAAGAATTTTATTCTTATGTTTATTAGATATTTTGTTTGTAATTAGAAAAATTATTAAAAATTTTTTATGGTTATTGTTCATGTTTAAATAGAGTAGTTTTAAACTATATCTTGATTATGTAGAATAGTTCATAGAGAAAAATTGAAGCAAACAATCAATTACTTTATGATTATTCGCTTGAATGATTTAGCAACGAAGCATTTAGATTTAAAATATCAAATTTTTTTCTTATGTTTCATCATGTATATGTCTCGATTTCAGCCTTAACAAATATTTCGATAACACAATAGTCTAGATATATCTCTATTTTACTATCGGTAAGTTTTATTACTACATTGTAACTGCTTAGATTAATACTGCTATATTTCCTTAAAATTTATTTCTTTGTAAAATATTGATAACTAGTAAATAGAAAATAATACAATGACTATCGAATTGCATAATATTCAATATTTTATCTATAATAGAGGTGAAAAGGGCAACGCTCCTTCGAAGATCGAATTTTTGATAAAACACTAATAATATGATTTAGTTTGCTAAAAATAAATTTTTAAGAATTTAGATTTATTTTATGATAAATTGTCTATAGAATTAGAGTAGATGTTTATTTTGAAAAAAAAAATAAACAAATAAATATTTTACTAAAACTTTTATTCATATCTATTATCATCATATTTAATCATTATTAAATTTTTATCCTTTTAATAATATATTTATTAGGGATACTGCTGGTCAAGAACGATTTCGTGTAATAACAACATCTGTAAGTCTTTTCTTTTTTTCGATTGTATATTCAGAAAGTGTTTTTTCTTATTTATCTATTTAGTACTACCGTGATGCAGCTGGTGTTTTAATAGTTTATGATGTAACTAATGGTGAATCATTTTCTCGTATTCGTCGTTGGGTAGATGAAATAAATAAATACTGTGATGATAATATAGCTAAAGTACTTGTTGGAAATAAAGATGATAATCCATCATCAGATGGTAATTATATACAAAAAGTTGTATCAACATCTGATGCTCAACAATATGCACGTCAAATGAAATTAACATTTTTTGAAACATCAGCAAAAGATAATAAAAATGTTTATGAAGCTTTTTATGCTATAACACGTTTAGCATTATATCAACGTTTAGAAGCTCGTACAAAATCACAAGCAATGCAACATAATAATATGACAAATGGTATTACAACATCACACACTGTTCGATTAAAACCAACAAAAAAATCTAAGAAAAAAGATAAATTTCATAGTGGAGCATGTTGCAAATAAATCTTTCTTTTTGTTTTTCTTTTTGTTTTTGTTTTGCTTTCGTATATTAAATTCTTTTGTTTTTTTGCATTCCATAACAATTTCTTATTCTGAGACTGTCATCTCATACATATCACCTTTATAATATACTTTATTTCTTTTTGTTTGTTTGGTGTTCTTTCATTTTCTCTTCTTTTTTTGTCTCACTTTTACAAATTCATAAGAAAAAAAAAAATGAAATTTTAAATGAAATTATGTAAGACAAAATATAAGTAATATGTAAAAATTAAAAAAATGATTTAATAAATTATTTGTTGGTTTTCTTTTTTTCTTTTCAGATATGGCATCAACAACAAAAAGTCTTGAATCAGTTCAAACATTTAAAATTCTAATTATTGGAGATTCCGGTGTAGGAAAAAGTTCATTAATGGTTCGTTTTGTTGATGATATTTTTACAGCTGCTTATATTACAACAATTGGTGTAGATTTTAAAATGAGTACAATTAATGTTGATGGACATCAATGTCGAATACAAATATGGTTTGTTTGTTCTTTTGTTATTTTAGAACTTGAGGAGGAAAAAAAAAAAAAGAATTTTTAATCAAAAAAAAAAATACACTTGTCAATCTAACAGGTTTTTTTAGTATTTCAACAATTTTTAATAAATTTTTGTTATGTTAATAGACAATATCCAATGATTCTAGAACATTTATAATATTTTCTTAAACGACATAAACCATCTCAAGAGTTTATTTGCATAATTTTATAGGTCATTTGCATCAATTTTCGTATTTTAATCATTCTTCTGGAAGGTTACTAAGATTAGATTCGTATGTTATTACTAAAATTAACAAATAAATCTTCTTGTTTTTTTTTTCTAATTATTATTATAAAAATTACAAAAAATTGTTATGTAATCATAAACAATAAACTATAATATAGACCATAAACTTTGAATAACAATGATTCAATATTAGTTTTCACTTGTTAGATATACAACTAGTACTAATCATCATTATTTGACAAATATTATTGCACTTTACATTAGACATACTATTTAATTTAATATATATAAATGAAAAACATCATATAACTTTTTCAAATTAATTATTTTTTGTTTAATGAATTAATCATCAATGTTTTCTTTCTATTATTTATTTAGGGATACAGCTGGTCAAGAACGTTTTCGTGTTATTACTAGTAAATAAAATAAAGAAAAAAAAAACTAATTCTTTATAAAAATCAAAAATTCTATTCGTCTCTTTTTTCTTTTTTCTTCAATAGGTACTTATTATCGAGGTGCTGATGGTGTAATTATTGTTTATGATGTACGTTTGAAATTCTATTGTTTTATTTTCTTTATAATTGATCTTATCTTTGTTTGTTTTTTTTTCAAGGTAACAAATGGTGAAAGTTTTGCTAATTTAAAAGATTGGATCACTGAAATGGAACGTCATTGTGATCAGAGTGTGCCAAAAATTCTTGTTGGTAATAAAGATGATGATGATAATGAAATGGGCAAAGTTGTTTTAACTTCTGATGCACGAGCATATGCTGAACAAAAAAATTTACCATTTTTTGAAACATCAGCAAAAGATAATAAGAATATAAGTCTAGCATTCAATGAAATAACTAGACTTGCACTTAAACGACGTCTCAATCAACCTAATAATGGACAATCGGCTTCCGGTGGTCCAATTCTTCGACCAAAGCGACCATTCATTGGTGGTGCACAAAAAAAATGTTGTACAACATGAATGAAATATTTTAGATTGATTTATTTCTTTTCATTTTCCTCTTCTCTGTCGTTTGCGATCTATTTCAATGACTTTATAGCGTGTGCAATATCAATACAAACGTTTGTTTTTTTTGTCACCTTTTTTTTTTACGCGTCCACAGACTTAATTAATGATTATCTTTTTTTTCTTTCAATCACTCGTTTTATATAACAAAAAAATACGACAAAAAAACAATAAGCTTTGATCTCTCTTTTCTTTTTAATTTTGTAAATTTTCATGATTTCCATATGTGGAGGTCATGTTGATAATTTTTTTGTTTCCTAAATAATGTATACATGTGTGAATCTTGTTCATGCATTTTTTTTTTCGCCCATTGATTATTGACATTCAGCGATTGTATTTGTGTGTACGTATGAAGAATTTTCTTTGTATTGGTCTATAATTTTTTAACAGTGAATGAAAAAAAAAAACAAACATTTTTGTTGAAATCATTTAAACAAAAGATAAATTGATTAATTATTCACCGTATTGCCTTGATATTACTGTTCGTTTTCATATTTTCGGGACTAAACTTTTTTTCTAAAATATAGAGCTTTTAATACTTTTCAAAACTGCATACAACTAAATTTTATAGAAGTTGAAGCAAAACATTTCTCGGAATGATATAGAAACATGAGATATGACTTCTTTTTGGAGTAATTCAAATAATAAAAAAGAACACACTTCAGAAAAAATAAAACAACATAATTTATTTTTTGAAATTTTGAATTAAAAAAAAGAGACACTTGTTATCGTGCACTTATCCCATTTTTTCCAAAGAATTAACATTACTTAGGCAACTATGATTTCGTAGAACAAGAATTTTATTGGTTTAAAATTAGCTGAGTAATATTCTGAAATTCTATCTTATTTCTACAAGTAACATTCATCGTGCTTTAAAGAAGATTATATTTTTCTCTAAAAAACGCTTACAATTGCATTTTTAAACACTTCTAAGCATTGCATTTCATAGTGGGAACATTCATCGATAAGCCGCTCCTACTGCCATCATACTTTACTCATATATAGAGTACCTGTAATATAGTATAAACCTCTGAGAGACTTCTACTCTTGTTCA